CCCGTCACAGAGACATGCAGGGAGGGGATTGCGGATCACACTGCACCCACTCTGTCCAAGCAGTGGGTGTGGGACAGATGGGATGGGGGTGGATCGGATCAATTGTCCCCCTCTCCCCCTGCCACTCCAGGTTATCATCCTCCATCCCCTCCTCCCCAGCCCCCTGCCCAGCCTGGCCCGCAATAGCTCATCAAAACTTCTTAAGTAGCCCTCCAGCCTAAATAACTGTCCACCCTTGGTCTAGACTGTCAAGGCTGTTGCCACAGACTGTGCAGCAGTGCTCTTCAGTAACCGTTTCAGATTCACCAAATAAACTGCATCCTTCCCCTGGGGGCAGAAGAATCTGGGACCTCCCAGTCTCTTTCCTGTTAATGCCTGAGAGATTTCTTTACCGTCAGCTACGTTGTGGTCTTCATCCTCTTCACAAACCTCTAGCCGCACACAAGATTATACCATCTCTGTAAATACACAAGAAAAGTTTGTTCTGTCCAGGAAGCAGAAGTTGTGAGAATATGGGCATGCATACTATGGTTCTCCCCCGTCCCCTTGAGCCCACAGCATGTCCTTCCTTTTGATTGAGTTACATACATCTCTCTTGCTTAATTCACGGTTGGAAGAGTGCAAGGATGTGGAGGGGAAAATGGGCAACCTGCAAAGTAGCAGTGGTGCAGGGGTTGAAAAGGCCAGAAAGAGAAATGCCTGAGAGAAATTTGAAAGGGAACATTTTTGCTTTTCCAAACCTTGGGGGTTTGGTTTATGTTGTGTTCTTGGCACACGGTGCCCCTGATTAGGGCCTGGTGATGCTAACTGTTCATTCTACTCTTCTTTTCCTATTCAGGAGATGAATCAAAATGCAGCACACAACATGCACAGAGGACAGGATCCATCATGCTCTGGAAAGATGTTTGCATGGGCTTAGCAGAAGTGCTGTCTCCACCACCACGTGGACAGGTAGGTGATCCAGTATCTGTGCATCTTCTCAAGGCACAGAACCTCCTCATCAGGTCTTGTATGGGTTGGGACCCTTAAATGAGATGTATGCTTACAAGTCTATATGATTGTTTTGTTTGGCTGTATTACAAGGCCTGGTCTAATGAGTTCATGATGCTTTGTATAACTGCCCTTTCTCCACTATTATCATCAGTTTACCCATATTTGTCAGCCACAAAAGTCTACTGCTGTGTAATCCCAGATCCCATCTGAAGAATCATAACACCTAGAAAATTGTTTTTCTTTCACTTTGCTAATAGAGCATTGCATGGAGCCAAGAACAGATACCTGTGTGACCCCTCTTAGAAACACTGACCTAAGACGATGATTCACAGGGGTTTTACAGATTGCCAAAAGTTAAGGGCTGGAAGGGACCTTGGGAGATCATTGGGTTCATTTCAAATTCTTTTTTCCAATCTATCAACTAGTTCTCATTTCATTTACTTCTGGCTGTATTTATTTTTGTAAAGTGTTACTCACATGATGTTCTGATGAAAAATTAAATCAAAGTCTATTACGTTTTCACAATTACCCTTTATCAGTTAAACCTGTCTCATCAAAAAAGTTGGAAGTGCTTGTCTAGACACCTATATTCCATAAAGCCACATTGATTGACCACATTGTGTTTATTCCTATACTTATTTATACCCCCTGATCAGTATTTCCATTATGTTGCCTGAGATCAACGTTTGCCTAGGTAGCCTGTACTTTCTGGGCTATCCTGTTGACCCTTTATAAACACTTGTGGAGGAGGGGGGAAGCACTTTTTTTTTCTAGTGCTCTGGAACCTCTTTGATGTTCCTAGTTTATTTAAACATAAATTTAAAAAATTGTAAGGTTTAATAGAGCTTATTGTCTATCGTCTTTTAATTTAATTAATGTAATAATTTGCAAATTATCTGGTATTGCTGACTAAAAAGGTTTAGTTTTGATATTAGCTGTTTCCTATCCTTCATAGTTACTGTTGGAATAGAAAATATTTCATGTACAATACCATAGTAATGAATGCATCATCCCATTTATTTCTTTCCAAATGCAGAACAGGAGTGTTTAATCTATGCGTCATGTCTTTTCTACGTCACTGACAATGTCACCATCCTTCTCTAGTTTTAGACCTATGCCAATATTGATCCATAGGATTTTTATTTTGTTCTTCCTCTATTTAAAGGATTTCTTCTGATTTTTTTTTTTACTCTTTCTGGCTTCAGTTTTTCTCATTGAAGTTTTTTACTTCCTATATCAATTGTCTGCCAATTTTGTCAGTTTTACTTTGCTTTTCCTTCTTTGTTTTTGTCTTCCTTAACCTAAAATAAGCCACTGGCTTGAAAGTAAGTTCTGTGTCCTGTAAATTTTAATAGATATGTTTTCACATCTAAGTCATTTATTTTTAAATGGGAAGTTTGCAGGCAGTTGCTTCATAGTGTGTGACAAATTGTTTCTGAAATGTCAACCTCTCCTACCAAAAAGACATCTGACTAAAATGCTGAGGTTTGTAAAGTCAGCACGGAACAAGCTTTGAACTACTGTTGCACTTCCAGCTGCAGATCTAGATTGTGCCCCTGGTAGGGATTTTGGGACAGAAACGCAACAGAAATCCCAGGTCAGTTGAGAAATAATTTTCCTGGGGTTGTGGGTTCATCTGCAGGTTTAATGGAACAGTCAAATTATACCAGATCAGCACAGTCTTTGCCATGTTCACTTAATGCATCTTAAGTGTCTTTGAATATGAAACAAAACATAAACAAGACAACACTGATTTTCTGGCTTGTAACTGGAAAACCCAACCTGCTTCTCTATGGCCTAGCAAGGGATTTGTCCCTATTCGAAGGTGTGCCTAGCTCAGGTAGCTACTGTCAAAGTAGGGCTCTGAAAACCCAAGCTGGAACCAGTGTTGGAAAATAGTAAGGTGAGAGCAGTTCCTAAGGGCGCCACTCAACAAAGGGCCTGACCACCCCAACAATGCCAAAATGTCCTGTTGAGAGAGGACTTCATCACAGTCTGTTTGATGCTGCATGTGCTGGGCTTGTTTGACAGCCAGGAAATTGCCCAACATGTGCAGCAGTCTGCTCACCCTGCAAGCCCTGAGGCCAAGAGGTTTTTTCCCCTAACCATGTCTGCTGCTGTGGCCAATATACACTCTACTGCCCAGTACAGACCTGGGTAAGAGACTCAGCTGATCAGTGGCATCTACCAGTGTGCTGAAAAACAAAGGAAAGAGGTTCAGTGAGGTGCAAACGGCTCTAGTTGGAGTTAGAACAGAACCATGTTGTTCTCGCCCCAACTAGCTGTCATATTTCAATGGCATAAAGCAGTGCATTTAATATAGAAATCAGTAAGATTTGGCAAATGTTGTGTGCTGTTTGCCTGACTTTAAAAGCTAGAAGGTAACACAAACAGCCAATGTCAAGTGACTTGCACTGTATCTGCCTGGGGAAAAGGACATGGATATAGAGGACTTTTCAGTGTAGTAGACAAAGCTGTTACAAGACCAGTGGCTGAAATTTGAAGAGAAGTAGATTCAGACAACAAATAAGGCATGCATTCCTTAACAAGGAGGAGGGTAATTAAGAATTGAACCAATTTAGTAATGGGTTGTGATAGCTTCCCTATCATTGGAAATGTTTAAATCAAAATTGGCAGCTTCTATGTTAGGCAGGCCTTAGTTCAAAAGGGATTCATGCAGGGAAATCCTATGTATACTAGAAAGGTGAGACTAGGTATCATATTGGTCCTTTCTGGTTTTAGCATGAAAGAATTCATACACAAACCACTATAAACAATAAAGGAAACAAAAATCATCAGACAGCTGATTAGCATGACAGCTGGATTGGTTTTTGTATGGTTCCTGGGGTGCCTCTGCTGGCTTGTCACAGAATTGCTCCTGAACACAGGGCTGGTGATGCTCTTTTGCTGTCCTAGTCAAAGAAAAAAATACCACTCAAAGTTTGTCCAAGAGAGAGAGACCACCAGAAACAGTGGAACCTGGAAACAGACATGAAATATTGAGGGGTAGGAAACAGATCACAATATGGCCAGACGATGTGTATAATTTTCAAAAGTACCTGTCATTTTTTAGTGACTAAGGCCATGTGACTACACAGACTTTCTGCTGAATCCAGAACTACTGTGTAGAAATAAGTCCTGCCTATTTGTTTCCTTTCTGCATGTGATCATGCTTAGCTGCTAGGCAGTTTAGATGGCTTAGTCTGAAGTGTCACGTTTCCAGGTCGTAGCTGTGTTGAGCTATAGGCAAAAGGAATCAAAACTCATGGAAGAGGTGATGTCTTTTATTAGACCAAGTAGATATTTGCAAACCAGTTAATGTAAATAATGCTGCTTGCAAATATCTAGTTAGTCTAATAAAAGATATCACCTCTTTCACAAGTTTTGATTCCTTTAGTCCTAAGTGTGCACCCAAGTATACTCAGCACATCTGCTCTGCCTAATTGCTGACCAGGGATGTGAGTGGGATGGGAGTGAGTGGGAAGGACTTGATTCTCAGTAGCGGTCCAGGACTTGACACAGAAATGGCATAAATGTGCCCTTATGCTCTTGATAGTCTAAATCCCATCCATTTCTTTTCTTTTCTTTTTCCATAGGGACTCCTGGCTCACTCAGGGTCAGAACCCATAAAGGCTCTAGCTGCTTTTAAAATTAGGCATCTGGCTCCTGGAGTTGAATCCAGACCCCTGAATTAAGTGATTAGGCTTCTAATACTGAGCTAACGCAACTCAGAATAGGACCCTAGCCAGCAAGCACACTGAGTAGGAAGCTGCCTAAAGTCAACACACTCGGGGTAAAGCTGCTTAGAGCTAATCAGTAACAAAAAATTACTGAGAACTGGGTTTTTTGAGCCCAAAAGTGTTTCACTTAGGACTTTTGGAAGGTGTGTTTGTCTATGCGGATCCCATGGCCTGAAACCCCCTTCAGAAGGTAGCTGCACTTTCTCTCTCCTCAAGAGCTGAATAGGGCTTACTGGTTGTTGTTTTTTTTGTTTTTTAACATATGCTTCTGAAGGAGGAGAGTGAGGATAGTGGCAGTGGTGGTGCCTCCCTTCTTTTTAAGACTTGCCCAGGATGTGGGATACCTCTGTTGCTTTCCCTCTCCGTGCCCGAGGGGATTCAAATCGACATTTCCCATCGCAAGCCATATCTACCAAGCTAGGCCTAGTCTTTCCACCCCTCCTGTTGAAGCTAGACCACTCGAAAATAAAATAATTGATGATGCATTGTGTCAGAAAAAGAGCACAAAAGGGAAACCTGATTCTGTAGCCTAGTAAGTATAATTTCTTCTTCTTCTTCTTCTTCTTCTTTTTTAAGTTGACAGCTCTTCCTTTAAAAAAAAAAAAAAAAAAAAGAAGCAAAGAGGAGATGTTGATCACAGCTGCACCATATAGGAGGAAGCAGCCCCTGGAGGAGCTGTATTGGTGACAAACACTGCAGTATAGTTCTGAGAAAAGAAGCATTCAAGCCTCATCCTTCCTAAAGAACCCACAATGATGTTAATAACTGTTGTCGCCTGAGTCTATGCGTGATGCTGTAATCTTGTCAGTGGTGATAAAGATCAAAGCTAAAGCATAAAGGTGTAAATATAGCTTTTTGAGTGTGGATTTCTAGCTTGATGAAAGAGCTATTTCATAAGTATAATTTAAATTATTAGTAGTAGTAATCATCATCATCTAGTAGCAGGACCTCAGAGCCCCAGCCATGGATCTATTTTGTTAGGTGCTGTACAAACACAGAACAAAAAAATGGTGCCTATCCCCTCAAAATTATGATTATTTTGTTTTCTACTCTAAAGTGAGATTTCCCCTTTCTCCTCCATGCACTTCGCTTTCAGTAACATATTACTGACTAGCTGGTCATTTTCTTTGTTTGGGGGGAAGGGAGTACAGCCCAAGGACTGACATGAAGATAGAAACCACCTGGCCTAGTGATTGGAACATGGGACAGAAAGTACAG